GATTTATTTTCAAAGGGCTACCATAGGCGTGGATTTTTTAAAGATTTATTTTCAAAGGGCTACCATAGGCGTGGATTTTTTAAAGATTTATTTTCAAAGGGCTACCATAGGCGTGGATTTTTTAAAGATTTATTTTCAAAGGGCTACCATAGGCGTGGATTTTTTAAAGATTTATTTTCAAAGGGCTACCATAGGCGTGGATTTTTTAAAGATTTATTTTCAAAGGGCTACCATAGGCGTGGATTTTTTAAAGATTTATTTTCAAAGGGCTACCATAGGCGTGGATTTTTTAAAGATTTATTTTCAAAGGGCTACCATAGGCGTGGATTTTTTAAAGATTTATTTTCAAAGGGCTACCATAGGCGTGGATTTTTTAAAGATTTATTTTCAAAGGGCTAGGCATAGCCATAGTGGATTTTTTAAAGATTTATTTTCAAAGGGCTACCATAGGCGTGGATTTTTTAAAGATTTATTTTCAAAAAGGGCTACCATAGGCGTGGATTTTTTAAAGATTTATTTTCAAAGGGCTACCATAGGCGTGGATTTTTTAAAGATTTATTTTCAAAGGGCTACCATAGGCGTGGATTTTTTAAAGATTTATTTTCAAAGGGCTACCATAGGCGTGGATTTTTTAAAGATTTATTTTCAAAGGGCTACCATAGGCGTGGATTTTTTAAAGATTTATTTTCAAAGGGCTACCATAGGCGTGGATTTTTTAAAGATTTATTTTCAAAGGGCTACCATAGGCGTGGATTTTTTAAAGATTTATTTTCAAAGGGCTACCATAGGCGTGGATTTTTTAAAGATTTATTTTCAAAGGGCTACCATAGGGGTGGATTTTTTAAAGATTTATTTTCAAAGGGCTACCATAGGCGTGTGGATTTTTTAAAGATTTATTTTCAAAGGGCTACCATAGGCGTGGATTTTTTAAAGATTTATTTTCAAAGGGCTACCATAGGCGTGGATTTTTTAAAGATTTATTTTCAAAGGGCTACCATAGGCGTGGATTTTTTAAAGATTTTTTTTCAAAGGGCTACCATAGGCGTGGATTTTTTAAAGATTTATTTTCAAAGGGGCAGGCTGCCATAGGCGTGGATTTTTTAAAGATTTATTTTCAAAGGGCCAGGCTGCCATAGGCGTGGATTTTTTAAAGATTTATTTTCAAAGGGCTACAAAGGGCTACCATAGGCGTGGATTTTTTAAAGATTTATTTTCAAAGGGCCAGGCTGCCATAGGCGTGGATTTTTTAAAGATTTATTTTCAAAGGGCTACCATAGGCGTGGATTTTTTAAAGATTTATTTTCAAAGGGCCAGGCTGCCATAGGCGTGGATTTTTTAAAGATTTATTTTCAAAGGGCTACCATAGGCGTGGATTTTTTAAAGATTTATTTTCAAAGGGCCAGGCTGCCATAGGCGTGGATTTTTTAAAGATTTATTTTCAAAGGGCTACCATAGGCGTGGATTTTTTAAAGATTTATTTTCAAAGGGCTACCATAGGCGTGGATTTTTTAAAGATTTATTTTCAAAGGGCTAAAGATTTATTTTCAAGGCGTGGATTTTTTAAAGATTTATTTTCAAAGGGCTACCATAGGCGTGGATTTTTTAAAGATTTATTTTCAAAGGGCTACCATAGGCGTGGATTTTTTAAAGATTTATTTTCAAAGGGCTACCATAGGCGTGGATTTTTTAAAGATTTATTTTCAAAGGGCTACCATAGGCGTGGATTTTTTAAAGATTTATTTTCAAAGGGCTACCATAGGCGTGGATTTTTTAAAGATTTATTTTCAAAGGGCTACCATAGGCGTGGATTTTTTAAAGATTTATTTTCAAAGGGCTACCATAGGCGTGGATTATTTAAAGATTTATTTTCAAAGGGCTACCATAGGCGTGGATTTTTTAAAGATTTATTTTCAAAGGGCTACCATAGGCGTGGATTTTTTAAAGATTTATTTTCAAAGGGCTACCATAGGCGTGGATTTTTTAAAGATTTATTTTCAAAGGGCTACCATAGGCGTGGATTTTTTAAAGATTTATTTTCAAAGGGCTACCATAGGCGTGGATTTTTTAAAGATTTATTTTCAAAGGGCTACCATAGGCGTGGATTTTTTAAAGATTTATTTTCAAGCCAGGGCTGCCAAAACGTGGATTTTTTAAAGATTTATTATATAAAGTGTTTTCTATTTTTTTTAGATATATGAAGGAGTTTCGTGAGACCCAGCCTACGGTACCCATACCCAAAGATTTGAAAATGACGTCTAGATATATCTTCAATAACATTGAAGACATATATAAATTTCACAAAGAGTAAGTCAACAAATATTCGAGATAGAGATAATCTTTTGTCAGGGTCTGTCAAAGTCGTGAAAGAAAATTTTTCATTGGGCTTTGGAAAATATTTTTTCAGGGCATCACAAATATTATTTTTTGAAGGATTTTTTAAAGAATATGTTTTGAGGAGCTATCATGGGTGTCGATTTTTTAAAGAATTTTTTGGATTTTTTAAATATAATTTTTTTTTTGTCAGGGGCTATAAGAGGAGTGGATTATTTAAATATTATTTTTTTCAGGGGCTACCTTTTCATTTTTTTGGAATTTAAATTTGCAAAAAACAATTATTTTTTATTGTATATTTTTTGTCAGTTACTTCTTCGATGTCCTTAAAACCCATCGTCATTGTCCAAATAAATTTGCTAAACAATTTTTACGCTGTGAAGCACAGTTTCACATGTATTCCAAGTACTGCAGCAAAAAAGACTGTTCCCAACAATTGGTTAATATTTACAAGTCCTATTTCAATGACATCGCCAAAAAATCGAATTCAAAATTCACGGTAAGTTCAATCATGTGACTGTAAAAAAAGAGTACAATATCATCCTGACCTCATTCGATATTTCACAGATTCAGGATTTATTAATAGAGCCGTCACAACGACTTTTTCAGTACAAATTAATGTTTCAACGAATTGTGGCAAATCTGGAAACACAAGGTGTCGATCATAAAGTTGTTGAGGATGGTTGTGAAATGATTCTGGTAAGGATCCCTAAGAATGCCCTAAAGTTGGATTTGTGATTTCGGTGTTATTGTTCTTCTTCTTCTTCTAGCGCATATTAATTGAAACGGATAAATTTAAAGCTGTCGACGGTATCACCAATTATCCGGGTGATATAGCGGAACAGGGCAAACTTATTCACTGTGATTATCTAAGTTGCCGATATGACAAGAAATCGAAACGTCATTATGTTTTTCTATTCAAACACACGCTGGTATTTACGAACAAAAAATCGTGCAATGATGAGTATTCGTATAAAATGAAAATTCCGGTAGGCCAAAATATTCCAACATAGTCCACATAGGGTAATGTGAAATATTGTTTTCTTTTCATTTCAGATGAACAAACTCCGAATGGAAGGAGGCAATCCCCTTACGATTACATCGACAGAACCGAATTCGAACATTACCATTCTTTGTAGGGGTGGGGCCAACTGAGGCGTGGATTTTCTTAAAGAATATTTTTCATAGCCTATCATAGGCGTCGATTTTCATAAAGAATATTTTTCAGAGCCTATCATAGGCGTGGATTTTCTTAAAGAAAAAATTTCAGAGCCTATCATAGGCGTGGATTTTCTTAAAGAATATTTTTCAAGGGCCAACTGAGGCGTGGATTTCTTAAAGAATATTTTTCAAGGGCCAACTGAGGCGTGGATTTCTTAAAGAATATTTTTCAGAGTCTATCATAGGCGTGGATTTTTTAAAGAATATTTTTCAGAGTCTATCATAGGCGTGGATTTTTTTAAAGAATATTTTTCAGAGCCTATCATAGGAGTGGATTTACTTAAAGAATATTTTTCAGAGCCTGTCATAGGCGTAAATTTTTTAAAGAATATTTTTCAGAGCCTATCATAGGCTTGGATTTTCTTAAATAATATTTTTCTGAGCCTATCATAGGTGTGGATTTTATTAAAAAATACTTTTCAGGGGCCAACTGAGGCGTGGATTTATTAAAGAATATTTTTCAAGAGCCTATCATGAGGCGTGGACTTCTTAAAGAATATTTTTCAAGGGCCTATCATAGGCGTGGATTTTCTTAAAGAATATTTTTCACAGCCTATCATAGGCGTGGATTTTCTTAAAGAATATTTTTCAGAGCCTATCATAGGCGTGGATTTTCTTAAAGAATATTTTTCAGAGCCTATCATAGGCGTGGATTTTCTTAAAGAATATTTTTCAAGGGCCAACATAGGCGTGGATTTACTAAAGAATATTTTTCAAGGGCCAACTGAGGCGTGGATTTCTTAAAGAATATTTTTCAAGGGCCAACTGAGGCGTGGATTTCTTAAAGAATATTTTTCAGCCTATCATAGGGCCAGAGCCTATCATAGGCGTGGATTTTTTAAAGAATATTTTTCAGAGCCTATCATAGGCGTGGATTTTCTTAAAGAATATTTTTCAGAGCCTATCATAGGCGTGGATTTTCTTAAAGAATATTTTTCAGAGCCTATCATAGGCGTGGATTTTCTTAAAGAATATTTTTCAGAGCCTATCATAGGCGTGGATTTTCTTAAAGAATATTTTTCAAGGGCCAACTGAGGCGTGGATTTTCTAAAGAATATTTTTCAAGGGCCAACTGAGGCGTGGATTTATTAAAGAATATTTTTCATGGGCCAACTGAGGCGTGGATTTCTTAAAGAATATTTTTCAGAGCCTATCATAGGCGTGGATTTTCTTAAAGAATATTTTTCAGAGCCTATCATAGGCGTGGATTTTCTTAAAGAATATTTTTCAGAGCCTATCATAGGCGTGGATTTTCTTAAAGAATATTTGTCAGAGCCTAAATTTTTTGCGTGGATTTTTTGAAGAATATTTTCAGGGGTTATTTTCTTAAAGAATATTTTTTAGGGGCTATAATCGGTCAAAATTCCCTTAGATGTTTTTTTCTTTTACTTTACACTGTTTCACTTCAATATATGTATAGTTTTCTACTTGCACACACACATACTTACTTCCTTCATGTATTTTTGTCAAACAACCTGTCGCCTCAAAACGTTGACCATATTTTGTCAAATAGGCTGGCATATCGTCGGCATCACATTCACTCTGTTCAATACCCTTGGGTGAGAAATATTCATTGCACTGGGGCTGGGTCATCGAGTCGCATTGATAGCATTTTATGGACCAGGCTATATTGAAAACAAAAACTCAAATTTATAAAAAACACACTTTTTATATAAGAAAAAAAAAAAAAAAAGAAAAAAAATTAACCAGTGGCCAAAAACGTTGTCAGCACCGCAATCAATAGAAAGAAACGCATTTTCGCTACGACAATTTTCTTTTTCTTCTTTTCAGACTTCTTCGATTAACTGCCAGACGACAACTAGTCGCGTTTCGCCAGCTATTTTTTCCGAAACACATTTTAAGAGATTTTTTTCAGTTTCTTTTTTCGAAAATAAAATTGTGTTTTGCTTCTCATTTGATTTTTTTTTTTTAAATTTTGGCATCTACAAGCATTTACTTCTGCTGTAAATTCCACTATGTTTTATGGGCATTTCATTCTTGTTTTTTCCCACATTCAAAATAAATATAGAAATAAAAAAAATAAAAAATTCTAAAATATTTGACCAAAGCAATGCTTCTTTCTGCCTCTCATCGAAAATTAACAAACCAAAATAAATGACGTGTGGGATGTTGTCTGTCCACTCTACGATTGGTGATGGGTGTGTGTGTGCTGTGCTGTGCTAAACGTCATCGTTTTGTTGATTTTTGATGACAATTTTTTTTATATTTTTATTTTCTTTGCCATCGGATTAGACAAGAAATAAAAACAAATCATTAACAAAATACATTTGAAACGCTTGCGGACAGCGGTATCGTTCTGATAGCCCCTCGCAAAAATTTTCTTTAAAAATTTTTCTTTTCTTTAAAAAAATCAACGCCTATGATAAGCTCTGAAAAATATTCTTTAAAAAAATCCACGCCCATGTGAGGCCCTCAAAAAATATTCATTAAAAATCCATGTGAGACCCTCAAAAAATATTCTTTAAAAAAATCCACGCCCATGTGAGGCCCTCAAAAAATATTCATTAAAAATCCATGTGAGACCCTCAAAAAATATTCTTTAAAAAAATCCACGCCCATGTGAGGCCCTCAAAAAATATTCATTAAAAATCCATGTGAGACCCTCAAAAAATATTCTTTAAAAAATCCACGCCTATGTGAGGCCCTCAAAAGCAAATATTCTTTAAAAAATCCACGTCTATGTGACAAATATACTTTAAAAAATCCACGCCTATGTGAGGCTCTCAAAAACAAATATTCTTTAAAAAATCCACGCCTATGTGAGGCCCTCAAAAGCAAATATTCTTTAAAAAATCCACACCTATGTGAGGCCCTCAAAAACAAATATTCTTTAAAAAATCCACGCCTATGTAAGGCCCTCAAAAACAAATATTCTTTAAAAAATCCACGTCTATGTGACAAATATTATTTAAAAAATCCACGCCTATGTGAGGCCCTCAAAAACAAATATTCTTTAAAAAATCCACGCCTATGTGAGGCCCTCAAAAGCAAATATTCTTTAAAAAATCCACACCTATGTGAGGCCCTCAAAAACAAATATTCTTTAAAAAATCCACGCCTATGTGAGGCCCTCAAAAACAAATATTCTTTAAAAAATCCACGCCTATGTGAGGCTCTCAAAAACAAATATTCTTTAAAAAATCCACGCCTATGTGAGGCCCTCAAAAAATATTCTTTAAAAAATCCACGCCTATGTGAGGCCCTCAAACAAATATTCTTTAAAAAATCCACGCCTATGTGAGGCCCTCAAAAATATATTCTTTAAAAAATCCACGCCTATGTGAGGCCCTCAAAAACAAATATTCTTTAAAAAATCCACGTCTATGTGACAAATATACTTTGAAAAATCCACGTCTATGTGAGGCCCTCAAAAAATATTCTTTAAAAAACCCACGCCTATGTGAGGCCCTCAAACAAATATACTTTGAAAAATCCACGCCTATGTGAGGCCCTCAAAAAATATTCTTTAAAAAACCCACGCCTATGATAGGCCCTCAAACAAATATACTTTGAAAAATCCCCGCCTATGTGAGGCCCTCAAAAAATATTCTTTAAAAAATCCACGCCTATGTGAGGCCCTCAAAAAATATTCTTTAAGAAAATTCACGCCTATGATAGGCTGTGAAAAATATTCTTTAAGAAAATCCACGCCTATGATAGGCTGTGAAAAATATTCTTTAAGAAAATCCACGCCTATGATAGGCTCTGAAAAATATTCTTTAAGAAAATCCACGCATATGATAGGCTCTGAAAAATATTCTTTAAGAAGAATGATAGGCTCTGAAAAATATTCTTTAAGAAAATCCACGCCTATGATAGACTCTGAAAAAAATACTTTAAAAAATCCACGCCTATGATAGACTCTGAAAAAAATACTTTAAAAAATCCACGCCTATGATAGGCTCTGAAAAATATACTTCGAAAAATCCACGCCTATGATAGGCTCTGGAAAATATACTTAAAAAAATCCACGCCTATGTGAGGCCCTCAAAAAATATTCATTAAAAAATCCACGCCTATGTGAGGCCCCCAAAAAATATTCATTAAAAAATCCACGCCTATGATAGGCTCTGAAAAATATTCTTTAAAAAATCCACGCCTATGTGAGGCCCTCTAAAAATATTCTTTAAAAAATCCACGCCTATGTGAAGCCCCTGAAAAAATATTGATTAAAAACAATTCACATTTTTTGCGCTTCTAATTCTAAGCAGAGGAATATTTTTTTCTTTATTTGTATTATTTTCGTTTACTCTAAAAAACTATATAAAACTACATACATATATATGTGTATATGGATTTTCGACAAGTTTGAACTATTACTTAAATTCCATTTTTATACAAGTACCATACATTGAATATTTAGAATTTTTGCAGTTAAAATAAACATTAATAATGAACCGAATATAGACCACCAATTCGGATGACTTTTTAAAGGCGCCGCATTGCAATAATCATCGTCATCACAGACATAACAGCGAACATCTTGCACATCCGCCATCGATGGATCCATACGACAACCGATGCTGGTGTCATTGACATCGCCATAATAACAACTACGTATATACTTGACGACTGAGTGTTCTGCAAGAAAGTGAAACCATAAAAAATATTAGAAATAATTAAAATAAAATTTGAATTTATTTTCAAATAAATTTGAATTTGAGTACCCACCCTTGTATATCCTTTTCATGCACGCTGTGGCATTTACATTTTCCACCAATTTTCGAATATAGCGCGGTGGCGCCTTATAATCACAATTCACCTTAAAATGTTCCTCCGAATCGAAGATGTAACCACAGCCTTCTTCGTATACGGATTCACATTGGTAGCATTCAATGGCGGAGGCTAGGGAAAAATTGGAAATTAGTTGAAGATCAGTTCAGGTGGAAAGGATATTCTTACCGGCCTGGAATAGCGAAGCAAGTAAAATGGAACAGATTATCACTTGGATTGCAGGCATTTTTAATAATATTTTTTTCAATTAATTTATTATTTAATTGGTTTTTTATAATTTTTTTAAAGATTGTACATTCTTAATGAGGCTGAAAAGGCCAAGAAATTGTAATAGTAATACTCTACATCACTGTTGTCTTAGACGATTATTTTCTATATAATGTTTTTTTTTTTTGGAAAATATTTGACGACTGTTTAACAAAAAAAAATTACTACAATTTTTTTAATTTTTATACCCTTCACCACACTGTGGTACAGGGTATTATGTCTTTGTACATATGTTTGTAGCAGGCAAAAAGAAAAAGAGATAGACACATTATTGCTTTTGAGAATATGCATAGAATCACTTTCTGAGTCGATTTATGCATATCCGTCCGTAGATGTTAAATTGTAAACAAAGTACAGGTCGCATTTATGATCCGATTTAGATGAAATTTGGCCCAAGGACGAACCATACTGAAATTCAAGAAAATCGGTTTAGATTTAGATATAGCTCCCATATTATTTTCGTTCGATTTAAGATAAATGGGGCACCAAAGTCCCTATATATCTTTCGATTTGCACGAAATTTAGCGTAGAGTACTGAATTAGGTCTAGGAAGATGTGTGCCAAGTTTCGAGAAAATTGGTTCAGATTTAGATATAGCTCCCATATATAATTTCGTCCGATTTAAGGTAAACAGGGCACCAAAGTCCCCATATATATCTTTCGATTTGAACGAAATTTGGCATAGACTACTGAATTAGGTCCAGTATGCTCCCATATATATTTTCGTTCGATTTTATATAGATGGTGCACCAAAGTCCCTATATATCTTTTGATTTGCTCGAATTTTTGCATAGTGTACTGAATTGAGTCTAGAATGACGTGTGTCAAGTTTCTAGAAAATCGGATCAGATTTAGAAATAGCTCACATATATATTTTCGTCCGATTCGAGGTAAACGGGGCATCAAAGTCCCTATATATCCTTCGATTTGCATGAAATTTGGCATAGGATACTGAATTACGTCCAGAATGAAGTGTGTTAAGTTCAGATTTAGATATAGCTCCTTTATATATTTTTGGCCGATTTAATGAAAATGGTGCACCAAAGTCCCTTAATATCTCTCGATTTGCACGAAATTTAGCACAGCGTAATGAATTAGGTCTAGAATGATGTGTGTTAAGTTTCCTGAAATCGGTTCAGATTTAAATATAGCTTCTAAAAGTGGTGAAGAGTATCATATAGTCGGACCCGTCCGACTTTACTACTTTCCTTACTGGTTAATATTTTTTTCTATGTAGTAAAAATTTCGACGAAATGTTAGCATTTTTTATATAGAAAAAAAATCGGCAATAAATTGCATTTTTATATAGAAAATATGTCAATGAAGTTTTTCGATTAAAACCAAATTTCAACGAAATTTTATGATTTTTGTCTATATACAAAAATCCACAAAATTTAGAAAAAATTTCGACGAAATTTTTAAATTGTTTCTATATATAGAAAAATTTCGACGAATTTTTAACATTTTTTCTATATAGAAATTTTGCATTGTTTCTATATAGACAAAATTTCAACGGTTTTTTTTAATTTTTTCTATATAGAAAAATATCGACGACATTTTTAAAATTTTCCATTTTCCTCTGTTTATAAAATATTTAGTTTAAAAAAATGTTGATGAAATGTAGACGAAATGTTGCATTTTTTCTATATGGAAAAAATGTCGACGAAATTTTGCATTTTTTATGAATAGAAAATAGAAAAAAAATTTGATTTTTTTTTCGATACAAAAAAATATCCGACGAAATAAATTTTTTATATAGAAAAAATTTCGACGAAAATTTTGTCAATATAAAAAATTGACGAAATTTTTTTTTTCTATGTGAGAAAACTTTCGACGAAATTTGAAGAGAGCAATATGAGAGCTGACGAAAGAGAACCATCTATACGTGACCTGAAGAAGAGAGCTAGTTAACGAACGAGCCTTAATAGTCGATTTGACGTAGGGCACCTTCAATATGGAGGGAGTCTTTACAGACAAGCTGAATGGAGCCTGCTATAGGCGAGTTGACGAAGAGGGGTATTGTCGAGCCATCTATAGAGCTCACAAATATATCTTTTATTGGGGATCTGAAAGAGGGAGCCTTTTATAGGCGAGCTGAAGAGGGGAGTCTTCTTTGTAAGGAAGTGAAGAAGAAATACGAGCTGTTAAAGAGAGCTGACAGCTGACGAAGGGAGGCTTATTTGTAGGCGAGCTAACGAGGCGAGGCTTCTATGTAGGCGACATGAAGAAGGGAGCCTTCTTTGTAGGCGAGCTGAAGAAGTGAATCTTTGTACGCGATCTGAAGAAGGGATTCGTCTTTGCAGGAGCTCTAAAGAAAAGAAGCTGTAGAAGTGAGCCTTCTTTGTAGGAGATCTGAAGAAGGGAGGTATCTTTGTTGGGGAGCTGAAGAAGGAAACCTTCTATAGATCAGTTGAAGAAGGGTGCCTTCGATAGGTGCACTGACGAAGGGTATGACGAACGGATGAAGGGACCTTCTATTTGGGAGCTGACATACAAAGAAGGCTTCTTTTGTATGTGAGTTAACGAAACGAGCATTTTATAGGTAACGAACGAGCCTTAATAGTCGATTTGACGTAGGGCGCCTTCAATATGGAATGGAGCCAAGCTGAATGGAGCCTGCTATAGGCGAGTTGACGAAGAGGGGTATTGTCGAGCCATCTATAGAGCTCACAAATATATCTTTTATTGGGGATCTGAAAGAGGGAGCCTTTTATAGGCGAGCTGAAGAGGGGAGTCTTCTTTGTAAGGAAGTGAAGAAGAAATACGAGCTGTTAAAGAGAGTCTCATATATGCCAGCTGACGAAGGGAGGCTTCTTTGCAGGCGAGCTGACGAGGCGAGGCTTCTATGTAGGCGACATGAAGAAGGGAGTCTTTTGGTAGGCAAGCTGAAGAAGGGAGCCTTCTTTGTAGGCGAGCTGAAGAAGGGAATCTTTTTTGTACGCGATCTGAAGAAGGGATTCGTCTTTGCAGGAGCTCTAAAGAAGAGAAGCTGTAGAAGTGAGCCTTCTTTGTAGGAGATCTGAAGAAGGGAGGTATCTTTGTTGGGGAGCTGAAGAAGGAAACCTTCTATAGATCAGTTGAAGAAGGGTGCCTTCGATAGGTGCACTGACGAAGGGTATGACGAACGGATGAAGGGACCTTCTATTTGGGAGCTGACATACAAAGAAGGCTTCTTTTGTATGTGAGTTAACGAAACGAGCATTCTATAGGCGAACTGACGAAGACGGGCTTGAAGATGAAATCCTTCTATAGACGAGCTGAAGAAAAAAGACTTTTAGGGTGCGGGACCTTTATAGCAAAGCTTTGTCAAAATTTGGACCTACATATCCGGAAAATCCGTATAAGTCTTAAAAAAATACCAAAAATGTACCGTTGTCCTTTATATGGGGGATATGTCTGGAATTAAAGTTACTTTGTTTGAAAAATGAGGCTAAGACCAAATATGAGGCGGATCTTTTATATGAGGTCTATGACAAAATATGGATATATTTTCTGCCCGGAATGACAAATAACAGGCACTTCTGTGGAAATACCTTCAAAATACCGAGATTGGGCTGGGTCCATTTTATTGGGAATATACAAAAACATAGTTCTATACTGATAATTTTTATATATCAGCCACCAAAATCTCTGGAGTCGAAATAACGACCGCATCATTAGGAAAATGTGGCTAAGTCCTTTAAAATACCAAGAATGGGACGGGGTCCTTTATATAAGGGCTATGGCCAAAAATTGGACCTATACTGATAATTTTCGGCATATTACAACCACTTATGTTGGAAAATTTAGCCAATGCCTTCAAATACCAAAAAATGTACCAAGGTCTTTTATATGTAGTCTATGTCAAAATATGGACCCATATTTATACCTTTCTGTATAAATATATGTCCGCCTCCATAAACCCGGAATGGCAAATTAAAGTCACTTTGGTGGGACAAGACGTCTAGAAATATCGAAAATGGAACGGTATCCAATATATCCGGTACCAATATATCCGATTTGTAATTCAAACATCCTGGGAGTATTAGCAATATATGTGCAAAAGATCAAGACAGTAACAGAAAGATGGACATGGCTAAATCGTCATTCCGATCAGGAATATATGTACTTTCAGGTGTGACCGACGAATATTTCGAGGTGAAGATTAAAATTTTTTTTAATTTCCTATTACGAAAATCGGTCAATCTTTTGTTATATTTCTATATTTTCGATATAGAAATATTCTTCGATATTTATAATTTTTTTTTTCTATAAAATATAATTTTGTTGAAATTTTTAAATTGGTTGATCTTTTCAATTCTCCCCCTATTCAGTGATGTAGGGTATCCATTATTCGTTCCTTAAGCAATAATTTCTAATTTGCGTATTTATTGGTTTCTTTCTTTATTTATTTTCTGTTGTGATTTTCTTCAGCTATTTTGTTTTGTTCATGTTTCGAATAAATATGTATTGCTTGGTATTTCGATTTATTTATTTATTTAATTTTCTTCAATTTCACTTTTCGTAATTTTAAAGAGTTTTCAACACCTTCTAGCCATAGGTTCATGTAGTGAATTTTTCCATTAGTGCTCCGACAAAAAGAAAATAAAACTGACTAATAGTTTTATTGTTTATATTTTCGAATCCAATTGAATTAAATTGAATATTTTTTAATTATTCACACACATATTTTGTAATTGGATTTTTTTTTTAATTTTCTTTTTCTACAATTTAGAGAAAATATTGTTGTTTCTGTTTTCTCACGCGATCAGTTCACAAAACTCGCCGCAAAAAATAAATCAATTTCCGTTTTTTAAACCGTGTATGTTTATTCTTCAGCACTCAATATTTAACTGAAGACCAAAAAAAAATTCTGTTGAAATGGAAAATTTGTCCAAATTTTCATTCTCTTCTTGGTGGTATTGAAATGAAATTTTCTTTTCCTTCGGAACATTACTCATCTCACATCATGCTCTCAAC